TATTTGTTGGGAACCAGATATCAGATCGTTACAAATCATAAGAGTCTCTAACTTTTGTTTAGACAAAAAGAGTTAAACATGAGGCAACGATGATGGATTGAATTAGTTAACGATTATGATTGTGAGACTCTTTACCATCCAGGAAAAGCAAATGTGGTAGCTGATGCTTTGAGGAGAAAAGAGAAAAGTGGTACGATCAAGACCGTAGCAATGAGGATGAACCTATTGCCAGATCTCCACAGTGAAATTATAAAGTGTCAAGAAGAAGCCATCAAAGAGGATAATTCCAAATCTGGGCAAATAGATAAAATGATTTCCACCCTGGGAAAGAATGACAAGGGAATTTTGTGTTTTCAGAATCGAATTTGGGTACCACGCTATGGGAATATTTAGGAAATTATTTTGTATGAAAGCCACAAATCCCGGTATTCTATTCATCCTGGTACAAATAAAATGTATAAGGATTTGAAATTATTTTATATCTGTCTTGGATTGAAGAACGACATAACAATGTATGTGGAACGATGTCTAACTTGTCTTCAAGTAAAAGTTGAACATCAGAAACCATATGGAAATTTGTAGTCTTTAGAAATTTCGGTGTGGAAATGAGATCATTTTACGATGGATTTTATCATGAAGTTACCTCAAACTCCAAAGGGATATGATGCCATATGGGTGATTGTGGACCGTTTGTCAATATATGCGCACTTTCTACCAATAAAAGAGAATTATCCGTTAGAAAGGTTGGCAAAGATTTATATTGAAGAGATTGTGACTAGGCACGGGGTTCTATTGTCTATCATTTTAGATCATGATAGTCGGTTTACATCTAAATTTAGGAGAGTTTTCAAAAAGCCTTGGGATCTCAAGTTCGGCTGAGTACAACATATCATCCACAGACTAACAGGCAGAGTGAAAGAACGATCCAAACTCTTGAAGATATGTTGAGAGCTTGTATAATAGATTTCGGGAAATCGTGTGAAGATCATCTGCCGTTGATTGAATTTGCTTATAACAATGGTTATCACTCTAATATGCAAATGTGTATGCATTTTTTATATGTTAACATGCATAAATTGTGGAAGTAAATATATACATGTATGTATGCATGAATTTTAGGCATGCTGCATGAGGTTATGTATGAATAAAGTGTTACTGAGAAAAAGGAGTTTTATATTAATTCTTTAGTACAACCTGAATTGGAAAGGATAAGATGAGGCAATTTCATTATTTTTCTTTCCCAAACCTGTAACACCACGATTACAAAACAAACACTTACCAACCTTCATTAAATAAATTTTAGTTTCAAAAACCTCAAGATACGGGATAACGATTTACAACCCAAAATACATAATTTTAAGACTTAATAAATACATAGCTAACAAAAAAAAAACATAATCATCGGGGACATGTCTACCCGGAATATACATACTATGAACAACCCAAAAGTATAACTTATACCTAAACTCAAAAGTAGGCTTTACACGTCAATCCCTAATCGATCATCCGACCTTGTTTTTTCCTTTGCCAATTTGCACTGAAAAGTTAAAACCACTAAAAGATAAGCTATACGGCTTAGTGAATTTATGTGGAAAAATGTGGTTACAATGTGTTATATAAGCGTACATACTACAAAATAAAGAAGGTCTCAAAAGAAATTTTGCATAACAACACGACAACAACTTAGTTGTACCACATGAAGTCCTTTACAACAACCTACTTTGAATGTGGGAATCACAAMAGAATGTTCAACATAGAAAAAGAACATCAATATAATCAACATCATACTCGAGATCAAGCAAGGTCACATACCAATTAACTTCACACACAAACATAAGACTTGGCACCAAATCCGCCCTTCTTCTTYCGGATTATGCMAAWDTCCTATACTCACCCCCTGGCTCCCACTGGGCAGTGAGTATGGTAGCCCCTCCGGTTGTATCACCCGGACTCCATGGGATGTCGACAATCGGCGCCCAAAACACACCACAAGACAATACAAACAATAAAACCAATTTCAGGTGATAATCTAAAACTAACATGAATCATGGATAAACAATAAAACATCATAGCATATATAATCACAAAGTACACACATATGTCCACATAAACTCACTATGTTGTTTAATGAAATCGGTTGATCAAACCGGAAGCCAAACCGAAAGGTCGAATCCTAACTCCCGTTCAGTGGTTGGAAAGCACTTTCAAGGCCTTAAATTATGCTTAAATAACACCTGGAGTTCATATATAAAGTCTTATTAGCAATGCACAACAATAACATAAAATTAACCCTTTAGTTTTCTCCTTACAACACCAACTTGCAAACCTGTTTTGACCTTCTTAAACTCAAAATCATTAAATGACTTTCACATATGAATTGTAGAACTTTTTCTTACCTTTCCAGAGCCTATTTGTATATATTTTTAGGATTTTTCTACGATTTGTCTAAAACAGAACTTATACCAAGACTTTCAAACTCGAAAATAGCTATTTTTCACCTTTCCATGTTAAACTCCAAACCATTTTTTACCAAATTCATATATTAGTCTTATATTACCGTAAATTATATCATCATGAATCCATCATTATTTTACTAAACATTCACCTAGTTCATCTTCATATAAGGTTGACTATCAAAAGTAAAACTTCCCCAAACCATATCATGTATACACAACTATTTCTTGTTATCTAATCATGATTTCCACAAGATAATAAGTTATATATTACATATCCTACACAATATCAAGATTTCAGCTTATAATTCTCAACATGCAACCCTAATTTCATGGTTTCTTAAACTCAAACTGAATACATTATCAAAAATGGAAGCATACCTTCAATAATCTTGCAAAATTTCACCAATTTCTTGCTAAAACACCCAAGTTTGGTTCCCTTGAAGATTATAGAAGCTTAGAAATGAAAATGGGGAAGAATTGGGGCTGAATTCGTGTTTATATGTCTAAAACCCGAGTTGGGTCGTTTGACCCGGCTGGGTACCCGTTTTGACCATTAAACACTAAAAATTACATAACTTTTTGCTCGAAACTCTGTGTTGAATAAGGTTTTCGCCTACGCGTTCATAACAAGATAATCTATAATTTAAAAAAAAAAGTTTCATAAAAGACCTCCCAATAACAGCAGTTTTCATATTTGTACAAGTTATGCTTTCCTTTGAAATTTTGACGTTTTTGATTTTGAGTTCGGAATCCCGTAAAAATTTTCCGACACCTCCAACAACTCCTAATAGGTCAAAAACTTAGTTCCAAATCTTAACATCCTATAAAAACCTCCCGATTGAGTATTGTGCACGTAATTTATCGAAATCATATCGTAATTTGAAAAAAAACTTGCATAAAATGCAATCTACGCGACTTTTTCGACTTCCGACAATTTTAACACTTCATATTAACTTATTCAAAGGTGTTCCAACATGTAGATTACCATTTAGATCTTCCATTCAAGTTTTGGGTATATTTTTCTCATTTAGGCACTCTAGATACCTACCCAACTATCATGTATGCAATGAACTTTGTATGTTGAACCCTCACATTATCTAATTATGTCAATTGTGAGGTGTTAGCACCAATCTTACCTTCTACATCTCATTCCATCATATCCATAAAGGCTGCAGGGGCATTAGTCAATCCAAATGGCATAACAAGAAATTCATAATGTCCGTATCGGGTACGAAAAGCTGTCTTTGGTACATCCTCTTCACGTACCTTAAGTTGATGATAACCAGACCTTAAATCAATCTTTGAAAACTAACTTGCACCTTGCAATTGATCGAACAAGTCATCTATACGCGGTAATGGATATTTGTTCTTTATCGTTACCTTATTCAATTTGTGGTAATCGATGCACATACGAAAGGATCCATCTTTCTTCTTCACGAACAATACCGGAGCACCCCAAAGGGAAGTGCTCGGTCTAATAAAGCCCTTATCCAGCAATTCTTGCAACTGACTCATCATCTCTATCATCTCGGTTGGTGCAAGGCGATAGAGTGCCTTTTCAATAGGTGCAGCACACGACACTAAATCAATACGAAATTCTACTTGCCTATCCGGTGGTACCCTATCTTGAAATTCACACACAATTGGTACATCTTTTATAGTTTTCTTCATTTCTTTGGTTGCATCCAAAACATATGCCATGAAAGAAGAGCAACCCTTAGCAATATAACGTCGTGCTTTAAGCATAGATATTACCTTCAAGTCGCCTATACGTCTTTCCCCATAAATGTATAAGTAGTCTCCATTCTCAACTGGTACCCGAATCATCCTCTGAGAACAAATGATATCCGCACGGTTCTTCACTAACCAATCCATACCAATCACGACATCGAAACCATAGATATCCATAGGAATCAAATCTACTAAAAAGTCATGTTCGTCTAACACTAAAGTGCAGTCTCTAAACACTCTATGAGCTACCAAAGTGACTCCATTAGCAGTATCAATGGTAAATGGTATAGAAAGYATAACTGGCACAGATTCTAAACAACGAACATAGACATGCGACACAAAAGAATTTGTAGCTTCAGAATCGAACAAGATACAAGCAGGTCTAGAGTTAACAAAGAAAAGACTAGTAATGACGTCTGCCTCATTGCGAGCCTCCTCCGTGGTAATCTGAAAAGCTCGAGCTCGTGCTTTGGGTATCTCCTCCATTTGACTTGAAGCACCACCCACCGCCGGTTGCTGCATTGACGCCTTACTTTCTTCCTGCCTCATACGGGGGCATTCAAATTGTCGGTGCCCAAATACTCCACAAGAATAACATGCTCGATTTCTTTTTGGGCTGTTTAGACGAACATGACCCATTTACCCACAACAAAAACATTTCAAGTTTGTTGTTTCAGTAAGGCATCGCCCTTGGTGAGTTTTGCCACATCTTTGCCAAGGACGCGACACATTAGATTGAAGTGAATAGACTTGTGTTTGGGCACGCGGAATATTTTGAGATTGACTCCTTCTAGGAGTGAAAGATCGAGATTGTCACTGAGTAGGTACAGAGAAGGTTCTTTCAGTTTGTTGCCTTTTTGATTCAGAAGTTGGTTCCTCAAATTTCGTTAAATCGTGTTCACAGCGACGAGCATACTCCACAGCTTTATTGAAACTCGGAATATCACGATTAATAACAAACTCCTGAATTTCTCTCCTCAGACCATCAACAAAATGCTCTATTCGATCATGTTCAGAAGATAAGAATCGTAAGGCAAAACGTGCCTTACGATTAAATTGAGTCTCATACTCAATCACAGACATGTTCCCTTGCTTGAGTTCCAATAATTCTTTCTCAAGCCATCGTTGCAAGTCGATCAGACAGAATTGCTCACGGAAACGAGTCTTGAAAGACTCACAGGTCAAGCTTTCTCGTTCATTTTCAGTCAGGGATTCAAAAGTTGCATCCCACCAAGTGAGTGCACGCTCTGTCAACATTGCACTAGCATAATTCGCTTTATCCTCATTCATCACTCGGGAAATTCGAAATAGTTTTTCAGTGTTTTGAAGCCACTGCACCGCGATTACCGGGTCAGAGAGTCTAGTGAATTCAGTAGCACCACTACTTCTGAAGCTTTTAAACGAGACCCGTTCAGATTTGGGTTTTGAGAGACCACCCAGCTCTTTCTCTTTACCCTTTTCTATGTCATGCTTATGATGTTCAAAAGTTTGTTGAACGAAAGTCATAAGTTGTTTCCTTAAGCGTTCACTACGGGGAGACAATGGTGTAGCATCCTCATTCAGGTTGAGGTCGAGATCGTTTTCTCCAACATTAGGGTTTGTTGGAGTGTGACTAACAACATCTTCATCAGTCATCGTCCTAAAAGGTGCACACATGGTGAGAGTATTAAAATATAGAGTATTAAATAGTATCCTATTTATGGTCCCTTACCCAACCTTGGCCTTTCCTAATGGTCCATATCCCGTATAAATCATCGCCTAGTTACTATATAACATCAACGCCTAGTTTAAGTCTAGATACCATTATTGATACCTAGTTCACTTAAACTATTGCTCTGATACCATATTTGTAACACCACGATTACAAAACAAACACTTACCAACCTTCATTAAATAAATTTTAGTTTCAAAAACCTCAAGATACGGGATAGCGATTTACAACCCAAAATACATAATTTTAAGACTTAATAAATACATAGCTAACAAAAAAAAAACATAATAATCGGGGACATGTCTACCCGGAATATACATACTATGAACAACCCAAAAGTATAACTTATACCTAAACACAAAAGTAGGCTTTACACGTCAATCCCTAATCGATCATCCGACCTTGTTTTTGCCTTTGCCAATTTGCCCTGAAAAGTTAAAACCACTAAAAGATAAGTTATACGGCTTAGTGAATTTATGTGGAAAAATATGGTTACAATGTGTTATATAAGCGTACATACTACAAAATAAAGAAGGTCTCGAAAGAAATTTTGCATCACAACACGACAACAACTTAGTTGTACCACATGATGTCCTTTACAACAACCTCCTTTGAACGTGGGAATCACAAAAGAATGTTCAACATAGAAAAAGAACATCAATATAATCAACTTCATACTCGAGATCAAGCAAGGTCACATACCAATTAACTTCACAAACAAACATAAGACTTGGCACCAAATCCGCCCTTCTTCTTTCGGATTATGGCAAAGTCCTATGCTCACCCCCTGGCTCCCACTGGGCAGTGAATATGGCAGCCCCTCCAGTTGTCTCACCTGGACTCCATGGGATATCGACAATCGGCGCCCAAAACACACCATAAGACAATGCAAGCAATAAGACCAATTCAAGGTGATAATCTAGAACTAACATGAATCATGGATAAACAATAAAACATCATAGCATATATAATCACAAAGTACACACATATGTCCATATAAAGTCACTATGCTGTTTAATGAAATCAGTTGATCAAACCAGAAACCAAACCGAAAGGTCGAATCCTAACTCCCGTTCAGTGGTTGGAAAGAACTTCCAAGGCCTTAAATTATGCTTAAATAACACCTAGAGTTCATATATAAAGTCTTATTATCAATGCACAACAATAACATAAAATTAACCCTTTTTAATTCAAGTTTTCTACTTTAGTTTTCTCCTTACAGCACCTACTTGCAGATCTGTTTTGACCTTCTTAAACTCAAAATCATTAAATGACTTTCAAATATGAATAGTAGAACGTTTTCTTACCTTTCCAGAGCCTATTTGTACATATTTTTAGAATTTTTCTACAATTTTATATGATGTTTCTAAAACAGATCTTATGCCAAGACTTTCAAACTCGAAAATAGCTATTTTTCACCTTTTCATGTTAAACTCCAAACCATTTTGTACCAAATTCATATATTAGTCTTATATTACCATAACGTATATGAAATCATCATGAATCCATCATTATTTTACTAAACATTCACCTAGTTCATCTTCATATAAGGTTGACTATCAAAAGTCAAACTTCCCCAAACCATATCATGTATACACAACTATTTTGTGTTATCTAATCATGATTTCCATAAGATAATAAGTTATGTATTACATATCCTACATAATATCAAGATTTCAGCTTATAATTCTCAACATGCAACCCTAATTTCATGGTTTCTTGAACTCAAAGTGAATACATTATCAAAAATGGAAGCATACCTTCAATAATCTTGCAAAATTTCACCAATTTCTTGCTAAAACACCCAAGTTTGGTTTCCTTGAAGAGTACAGAAGCTTAGAAACGAAAATGGGGAAGAATTGGGGCTGAATTCATGTTCATATGTCTAAAACCCGAGTTGGGTCGGTTTGACCCGGCTGGGTACCTGTTTTGACCATTAAACACTAAAAATTGCATAACTTTTCGCTTGAGACTCCGTTTTATATAAAATTTTTGCCTACGCGTTCATAACAAGATAATATATAATTTACAAAAAAAGGTTTCATAAAAGATCTCCCAATAACAGCAGTTTTCATATTTGTACAAGTTATGCTTTCCTTTGAAATTTTGCCTTTTTTATTTTGAATTCGGAATCCCGTAAAAATTTTCTGACACCTCCAACAACTCCTAATAGGTCGAAAACTTAGTTCCAAAGCTTAACATTCTATCAAAACCTCCCGATTGAGTATTGTGCACGTAATTTATCGAAATCATACCGTAATTTGAAAAAAAAACTTGCATAAAATGCAATCTACACGACTTTTTCGACTTCCGACAATTCTAACACTTTATATTAACTTATTCAAAGGTGTTCCAACATTTAGATTACCATTTAGATCTTCCATTCAAGTTTTGGGTAGATTTTTCTCTTTTAGGCACTCTAGATACCTACCCAACTTTCATGTATGCAATGAACTTTGTATGTTGAACCCTCACATTATCTAATTATGTCAATTGTGAGGTGTTAGCACCAATATTACCYTCTACATCTCATTCCAATTATGAGTTCTACTTATAGCTCACTAGTACACTTAGCATTTTAGCAATTTTTTTTAAATAACACATAAGGTATGCTTATAATTACTAGTTAAGCATATTTAAATACGTGAATGTTACAAAACCTCCTCTTTTGGCAATATATAAAGGTGGACTCTTTTCTAGGAAGGTTATCTTCAAACCTAAAAAATAAAACAGAGAGAGAAAGTGTGTGAGTTCCTTCTAAAAATTTAGAAGCTAGAAATTTAGGTTAGAAGTTAAAGCAGTTCCTGTTGCTGTTTTTATCACACAAGGTGAGTTTTTGTTTTAAAAGAACAGTCTTTGAATTTGTTAAAATTACGGGTTTTTATTTGGAATTAATGAATAACTGTGCAATTGGTATGTTTTTATTTATGAAGATTTACAAGTTGATAAGAACCTGCATTCGTACAGTATTGCCCGATGAGGATTTGCTGTCAGGTCAGGTTTTATTTGGTGAAATTGGTTTTCAGACATTGTTGTCCGATAAGAGTGTATCCAAACCATTTATAACCAAAAATAGTACATTTGGTATCTTTCAAATGAGGCTAACATTTGGAAAAGATATTGTTGTGATTTTCTTTCAAGATGGTTGTGACATGAGGTCTGTTTTGAAAGAAATGAGTTTTCAAATGTTTCTTCAGGACGATTGTGATGTAAGTCTGTTCTGAATTGAATCAATGTTTCTACAGGATGGTTGTGATGAAAATTTGTTTCAGTATGAAACTATTTTGAAACAATGTTTCTACGGGACGGTTGTGACGAAAGTCTGTTCCGGTATGAAACTATTTTGCCAACGTTTCCATGGTATGATTGTGATGTAAGTATGTGCCGATATGAAACTGTTTTAAGGCCATTATTGGCTAAAGGTACAGATTTATCTGTAGATTTGAGGAGGAGATAAAGGTGGCATATCAAGGAGAGATGTACCATGGGATAATGGTGGCATATCTAGGAGCTGTGTACATATGAATAAGGGTGGCATTTGAATAGCTCTTGTTATTGTATCAATAAGAGATAATAGCTCCGGGATAACATTTCTCTGTGATTTGGGAACTTAAAGATGTTGCTCTTATTGAAATAATAACATTGATGTTATTGAAAAGGGGAAAACGGCTTATAGCGAGAGGCATTATATGCCTATGATTTCAAATGATGTTAATGAAATTAGAATATTTAGTTTTATAAATGATCAAAAGAAACAAGTATTTGATCGGAACCAGAGGGGCTCTGGTTGGTCTTTAAGACAGACCAAAGGGCCTCTGGTCAAGTGGAAAATCTTTTAAGTGTTTTCAGGAATCTTGTGATCCAGAGGCTCTGTATGTACTAGACAGAGACTCTGCATCATAAAGTTGGTCATGCGATTAGTTTTCAAGTATCCTAGGAATTTATATGACCCAAAGGATCTGTATCATGAAAGTTGTATTTTTAAATGTTTTTACGTCCGAGATCTGCATTCGAGAGTGGTGTTCGAGCTCTGTGTCCAAGTGTGGAGTCTGAGCTCTGTGTCTGAGAGCGGTGTTCGAGCTCCATGTCCAAGTATGGAGTCCAAGCTCGATGTCAGAGTGTGGTGTCCGACCTCTCCGTCTGAGCTCTGTCTTTTGAATCTTAATTTATATTCTCTTTCAAGTCTAAACCTTTTAAAAATCATTTGCAAATAGAACAAAGAACAAGATGAGCTCTGGTTACATTTTAGTGATTCATTTACTTTAAAAATTATATTCTGGTCTATTTGGACCAGAGATTTTGATCATCCAGAGGGTCTCTAGTTGAATGGTAGCCTTAGTTATTTTTGGAGTGTGAGTACAAAGGCTCTCGTTGGTAGAAGCAGAAGCCTTAGTTATTTAATAAAAGAACTTTGTCTCATAGAGATAGAAGATCTCTGGTCCTTAGGAGCAGAGAAGCTCTGACCAGTTGATCCAGAGCAGTCTTTCATCTGTGAATATGTATCTGTGTATGTGAAAAGATGTTTTAAAATAAATTTTGGTGATCTTCACCCTGTAATTGCAAAGAAAGGGTTATCTCACTAGACCTTCCGGTCTAACCCTCATTGTGTTTTAAATATGAATTACAGGATCAAGAGGGTCTCCGGAGATTAAGAAGGAGGAGAAAATATGATTATTTTCCTTGTATGTTTATCTGCTGTTTATGAAGATCAATATGTTTATTGAAGTATTTTGAAGATACATGTAGACATACATGTGATAGTACAGGGTCATTCTTTTGGAAACTTTTAGTCGTAGATTCTATACATATAGAATCCTTGTACTTGTGGGACCTATGTGGTGTAGTTTGTATTTCCTTTATATGAAATATATGTTATATACAAATATGGAATATGGGGAGTCACATCAAAGACATCCTGAACAAG